GTTCAGTGAGGCAGTTCCTACTGTTTTAGCCGTGCTTACGCGTGACGTGCGGTGGGAGCTTTGGTGGTACCGGAGCGGATCTTGGGAGGTGGCAGTTACCCTGTGGATTCATCATGGCTTGTCTTGGGAAGTTGGGTAGGTAGAGCAGACTAATGAAGCCACTAGTGTGGGTCAGTAGCCCGTTCTTCCCAGATATCCCACCCAATGTTTTGGAAAAAAACCCAGGTATATTTTTGTCGCTTAACCTAGTTAAAAGTTGCTGGCATTGGTTGAGATAGGCCTTGGTTGGAACAGCAGTAGTAATTATTTTATGCTTTTAGATGTGGTTAGGAAAAAGGTTGTGGGGTTTTCAGTGTTTGTTCTGAGAGAGGGAAGGAGAGGTAAGGGTTGAAACTGATAGACTAATTTTTTTTTTGTCTTTGTAATCAGGAAGAGACACCAATGTATTGGTATACGTGAAGAGGAGACTAGCTATGTGTGCAAGAAAGCTTGGAAGGATACGAGAAGCAGTAAAAATGATGAGAGATGTAAGTATCATAAGTTCTTTTTTCATAGGAAAATATCACTGACCAAACCAACTCGCTGTGGGAACTGTGTAACTTTGGGCTGAGAGCGTGCTGTATGAACCGCAGTGTACTTGTTTTCCAGTGGGTGAATATAGCAAAAAAGTAACGTAGAGATGATGCGATTCTTTTCATGCTGCTTATGTGCCAGTTTCTAACACCGTGAAAGAGCAGGATATTGAAAAAGCTTAAATTATGGTACTGATTTCTGTTAAGTATTTCAGGGCTTCAAGTGCAATTCTGTACGTGCTTAATTTATTTCTCTGTACTGATTTGCAGTTGATGAAAGAGTTTCCACTTCTCAGCATGCTGAATATTCACGAAAACCTGCTGGAGGCACTTCTGGAGTTACAGGCTTATGCAGATGTCCAGGCAGTTTTAGCAAAGTATGATGGTAAGTGGGGCCTGTTGGGAAATACGGGCGGTTTTGTGTGGGAGCACAGGTGAGGAGGGCAAGGCACGCCCGTCCCAGAGCCGATGTCTGCCTGTGATCTCGGCTGGATCACTGGATTCCCTTCACTGGCAAAGAACAGGCACTTCCAGGGTTCAAGTCAAGTTTTTTCTTTCGAACGATTAGGTCAAATTTAGGCAAGCTAGATTGCATACAAATTAGTTTCTATGTTTTTATGTTACTTTTCATCTGTGAAGAAATCTTGGAGCTCACTTTTCTTCAATTCAAGGATTATTTTAATTTTTTAATCTCTTCTACATCCCTTGTTATGCCTAAATTCATCAGCCTTTTGCAGTCACAGCACATAGCTCCCTACGTAATTGAGGTAAATAAGCTGGAAAAGGTGGTTTTCCCTTCTGTCATCTTACAGGCTTGGCCTCGTGATTCTGCGATGCTGTGAGGTTGCTCGCTGGAGATTAGTAACGTGCAAGCGTGCTGCTTGCCAGAGATCAGTGGTATGCGAGCTTTGGGCCGTTAAATGGCAGTCGTTTGCTTTCGCTTTCTGTCTCAACTCGTACGTTTCAGGTGTTGTGCAAGTCTAGACAAAGGTTAATAAAAAAGTCTCTTTCTTACTGTCCTCTGAGTTTTGCCACCCAGATCGTGTCCACAACGTTAGTGTACGAAGTGCTTCTGTCAAAGCTGTCGCTTAAGTCACCTTCAGAATGGAGGGACATAGAAGCAGTATTTTGTGGCAATTGTTCCCTGCCCTTGAGAAGTCGGTGGTCCTCTCTCGTGTCTCTGTTCTTTATTGCTTCAGGGAAGCGAGGGCATGATACTGTCGCCCAGATCCCGTGCCCCTTGTGCGTGGCCACCCTAGCAGCCTGCTCCCGTCACTTGATCACCCGTGTTGTTCTGTGTGGATTCTTATTAATTTGACAAAACCATTTGCTCTTTTCCTGGTGGTGCTTTATGTTAACATCAGGAATTGCAACGCTTTCTTAAGAAAGGGTTGCTGATTTTTTTTTTTCTAAGCATCTGGAAAAATGAGTATGAGCTTCAAACTCTCTGTAGCGCCCCTGTGTTTTGCTTGACACGACAGCCAGACTTCTAGTAAGTGATGGACAAGCCCAGGATGGGATTTACAAAAAAAGCAAGAGCCATCTGACTATACACAACATGGTACTTGGGAATTAGACCCCAGACTTTGTCTGCTTTTAAAGTAAACTTGTACTGTGGAGTGCTAACCATCTAATCTGTAATTGTCAGCTCAAACTTGGCCTCAGATATTCTACAAAACCTACAACTAACAGTTTCCCATGCAACTGGAAAAGAATGGAAATTGTGTTTTCATTAAAATTTGTCTACCTGTCTGTAACGTGATTTTTTTGGTCAGCTTCTAGTCACTCTCTCTGAGTATTGTGTAAAACTCTGTTAATGTGCAGTTGCAAAATTAGGTGAAGATTAGAAGCCTGTTTTAAACCTTTGTGGGTCAATACAGGAAAAATACACTGTTCTTAAGTGTGTATTAATACCTGCATTTCTCTTTGAACTCAGTTTCGGTGTCTTGGTACGTTTAGAAGGAAAAATTACTCTTTACCATCTAACTACAACTCTTGAGTTTTTAATCTGAGACTGACTGGTGACCGGAAAGAAGACTGTGCAAAGACAGTAGAGGTTTCTAATCATAGCTGAAATGTTCCAGATGTTGCATTCATTGTCTGGTATACCCGAGTAAGAGTCTAAGCTCAAAGCGTGTGGGTGTAAAATGTGTGCCTTGCCTTAGAATCTTACAGCTTAATTATTTTGTTTTATCATAGATATCAGTCTTCCAAAATCGGCAGCAATATGTTACACAGCAGCCCTGTTAAAAGCCAGAGCTGTTTCAGAAAGGTAAGCAAGCACATTTGTGAAAAGAGTTGGTTGTTGCTGATCTTGGGTCATCCTGTAAAATATGAATTAGAAAGGTCTAAATCCAGTATGTAGCAGTTACATTTCTAAGAGCAAGTTAAGTGTTGTTACATATACATATATGTGTGGGGGGGTGTAGTTAAATGTAATTTAAAGCTTCTTTCAAGCATCCATAAAGTTAACGCAGGTGAAGATGTTTTTCAGGAGCCCATGGACCTGCGTGTGCTTTTGTATCAATTTTGTTTTCAGTGTCTTGCTTGTGATGTTCAGCAGTTCTTTGTTTTATGGATTGGGTGCAGGATATTTGTGGCAGTTTGTGTTGGCATTTCACTTTCGTTCTGGGCTGTTTGCCCACTTGATTCTAGATTTACCTTCGAGGAGGTGACGCCGTAACAGTCATGTGAAGGACTGGGCGCTCAATTACCTGACCTGATTGACGTGAGGTTTCAAAAAGTCAAATGTAACTTTCTCATATGGGCATGGATGACAGTCCAGATACCTAAATTAACATGAACATTTGTCTCCTAGAAGGGTTTGTTTATCTTTCTTGATAGTCAGCCAATTTTTAATGAGCTCCAATGCAAATAAAGACCTGGTTAGCATTTATTATTTATTACCTTTGTTCAGTGCGAGTTTTTCCCTTCAGGTTCTCCCCAGAAACTGCCTCCAAGAGAGGGCTCAGTACAGCAGAAATTAATGCTGTGGAAGCAATTCACAGAGCTGTGGAATTTAACCCTCATGTTCCAAAGGTAAGAGTGTTTTATTTCCTATTGGACCACTTTGTATTGTCTTCTGAAAAAAGTCATGTTACGTTGTTGGCTTGTTATTGGAGCCTTTCTAGCCCCCTGTTCTCTTGAAGTTGTAAGTCCAGCCGTTGAGTTGTTAAACACACTCGTATTTGTATTGTAAATGGTTGATGGCCAGAATTAGTTGTTTGCCATAGGTGATGATCAAACAGGGGTTTTTGCAAAAACTTTAAACTCAAAATTTTTGAACTCATTGGAAAATCCAGTAATGTATTACTGAAGGCCCTTTATTGGGTAAGGGTAAGCATTAATAAATATAAATTTAGATATTTAAAATCCCTGAAGCTAAATGAAGTTCTCCAAACAATAACCACTCGTAGCATTTCAACATTCTTTTTTTCTGCTGTGCTTCCAAGCACGGCTCCAGAACTCGGGTTGTTGAAAGATCTGCAGGCACTTATTTGGTTCATCCACGTGTAAACAAGATTAAGAGTCAGTATGGCTACAGGCTGTAATTTGGGGTCCGCATTGCTTGAAGTGGCCAAGATACGGGTTCCACTGAGCATGGGGTGAAGATAAAACCTTGGGTTGCTTTTTGCGGTGCTGGTGTGGGTGGTGGCTCTGGTGGAGACCTTGAGTGCAGCAGGTTGGCTCAGGCCTGGACCTAATCCTCTGCAAATGATGGTGGAGTCCCAGGGGCTGTGGCTGTGCAGGCTCGCATTGTCCAGCCACTCTGCTCTGTCTGCCTGTCCAATCCAATAGAATGTGCACTGAGAAAGCTAATTGCTGGGAGAAATTGCTGCTTGTTTGCATGACTGATCAAGAGCGTAGCAAGTTCATTTCAGACAGTCTCAGACAGATTTTTCTTTAGCCTCTGCCTTTAGGGGAAGAAGATTATAATGCATTATCATTACCTAAAAGTTCTTTTATTTTGTATATCCTCCAGTTGTTTCAGAAGCCTCTTGTACCTTTTTAAAAGAAGTCAGATATCATTTCAAACAAGCTGTTTCCAAAATATGCTCCGTAGTTCCACCGGCAATCACAGAAAGTGATTTGAGGTTGCAGTAATCTGATCTTCTCTTCTAATTGTATACCTAGCCAGTCTTCTTGATGATCTTTTTTATTACAATATTACCTTGAAACACCAATTAATTAGGTGACAGGGCAGAATTTTACTGGTGTTGGCTCTCGGAATCTATGAAATGCTCGTAGTCAAAGCAAACAAGTGAAGTAACTTGCCCAATGGGTTACAGTGGAGTAGTGGGGAAGAAAATCTGGTTTTTGAATTTGCAGTCTGTTCTGTCCCGTGGACTAAAAGTAAATGAGTATGTAAAGTGGAAATCCCTTTGTTCTTGCGTCTGATGAAAGTGGTTGTCTTTGCACATAACATCATTTTGCATAAGGAAAATAAAATAATGTTTGTTTCTCTTTGTTCCGAGTTGTGCTTTTACAAGGATGGGGTTTGTTTGGAAAGTTAGGAAGGCATTTTACAGTGCTAGGGAAGTGGTGCTCTTCAGCGATTTCAGATGAGAGCTCTGTAACCGCGTTCTGGTGCTGTACGAGGCAATCTCTTCCAATCATCTTCTGAATATCTTCTGAATTTTAATTGTGTGTAAAGACTTTAAGTCTGCAAAACCCAAGGTACTTTCGGCACTGGTGCCTTGCCTGTTTCATGGTTAAGCACAGACATGAAAACCTGCCAGACTGTCGAATTTTTCTGTTGATGTGGTAACACGGGTGCGGAGCCAAAGCCTGGGGTTCAGTGCTGGCGTGTTGTGGCACTGCTTGCAGCGGGGCTTCGTCTCTGCTGTGGCGTTTCTGTCCCCTTGCTCTCCACCCAGTTAGTACAATGGAAGAGTGGGCGCTGCGGAGAGCATGAGGAGTCAGGGCAAGGGTCAGCTATTTGAGACCATTTTCCCACAGCAGCCCTGTGTGAGTGATCCTTTACTGTGTTAAAAAAAAAAAAATTAAAAAAAAAATAATTGAGGAGGATTAGAGGGGATTAGCAAGAATATTACCCTCTGGAGCGCAGGCCCAAGGCACTAAGAGAAGAACCTAGCCAGGCAGCAAATGTGCTTTATTTGGCTGGGGCACAACCCCTCCTACATTCCTTCAAGAATCTGAATGGGAAAAGTTAATTCCTCAAACTGGATTAGTAAATAATCTCATAGTTTGTGGCATCTGCTGAAATAAATCGGCGAGTTAGCTGCATTCTTACACTTTGGGAGACAGTCAAAGGAATTGCCAGCTACATTGATCAAAGATGCGGATTAACTTTGGCTGTTATTGAATGAGACACTCTATGCTAGGAGAGAACAGCTCACAGGTAAATACTAGAGCTGAAACTGTCACTTCGTTCTTGTAAAAATTGCTCATCGGTTTTTAAAGGCCAAGTTAAAATGAATACCTGTCTTTTTTTAACGTACCATGAGAAAACAAAATTGCATGTCCTGTGTTTCAAGGGAAATGGAAAATGATTAATCCTTGTGTTCTTTGACCACAGAATGTGCATCAGATATTCTGCTGATGTAGGGAGAAGGCTGGAATTGAAAAAAATCTGAAATCAGAGATACTTTGTGGTGGTTCAGCAAAACCACATTAAAACGAGGTTTTCCTGGGTTTGGTTTATCATTCTTCCTTTGGTTAGCATACTGACACTTTCTGGTTTGCTACTCGTACTTGGGAGCTGACAAGTACTTAGCCTCCTACATGGAAACTTTCAGTGATTAAATGATGAGAGAAAATACCATTGGGTGTGTTTTTTTTTTTTTATTATTAGCCTAAACTTGCAGGTCACTGGTAGCGTGCCGGTGGCATTGTACTTCTCTATAGTCCACAAGAGTGTATTTTATTTTGCCTTACTGAAGATGCATTTTTGTTTTTCTGATACTTTGTGTGTGAAAACCCCAACTGAAGTCTTCTACATCTGTGTTTTGCTGCTTTTCACTTCCCATGTGAGTGCAGGGTGTCTGCACCATGTCAGCATTGGGCTGTTTCTTCAACAGGTAGAAGTTGGCCCCCATGCGATGTGCTCAGTTATACCTCAAGCAATCACAGAATCACAGAGTGGTTTGGGTTGGCAGGGA